ACCCACCATACTAATGCCCATGACCAGAGCCGACTGGAGAAAGAGCTAAACATGGCATCACAGGCGATGCACACCAGGGGATGGAAAGTGGCTGCACACTCGTGGTCCAACTCTTCCCACACAGCAGGAGTTCTCATCCTAGTCCGTCAGGATCTGACTGCTATCGTGGAAAACCCGCCGCCCATCCCCGTGGTCCGAGGGAGATTTGCCAGCTGTATACTTTGCTGGGGAGGACACCGCATCCACATCTGCAACATTTATGGCCCCACGGGTACCTCAGCACACGTGAACCCCCTCCGACAACAGCTGTTCACAACCACGCTGCCAGCCACAACCAAGCATGCAGCCGAGAACAGTGACACCATGCTGGTCTGGGCGGGTGACTTCAACTTTGTGGAAGACCCAGGGCTGGACTCCACAGCAGGTCCAGGAGGGCGACGGGGAGATGGCCCAACAGTGGACCTTCTTCGGGCAGCATGGTGGACAGCCACCGCCAGCTGCACCCCCACAGTTGTGACTACACCCACTTCTACAGAGCTCCCTGCGTCGGGGCCTCCCGCCTAGACCGCATCTATGTAGACCATGGCACCATGCCGTACATTGCTAAGACGGAGATTGCCGTGCAAACACCGTCGGATCACAAGCCAATGGTCATGCACCTGCTGCCGTGCCGACCAGAGAGCAAGGGCCCAGGAAAGTGCGGCTGACCTTCACATCACACCAGGACTTAGCCGCAAGCATGGAGGCATGGATCACCAGCCAGTGTGCCACAGCACCATCTGCGGAGGACAACCCTTTGGGCCTGATTGCGTGGTGGCCAGCTTTTAAACGCCGGCTCAGCACCCTGGCCCTTCAGCTCAACAAGGCGGCACAACACCGCAAGCTCAGACCAGGGGCCCGGGCTCGGGAAGTGTTACCGCAGGTCCAGTTGGCAAGGCAAGCGGTGGATGCAGCCCCCACAGCACAACAGCCACTCCAACAACTGGTCGAAGCCCAGGCAATGCTCGCACGAGCACATCGGGAAGACTGCCGGAAGGATGCCATGGAGGCCCGCACCCACTGGCTGCGGGCAGGGGAGAGGCCGAGCCCATCCCTTACAGCCTTCCTCCAGGCCCAGGCTATAGACCAACAACCAGCCCCTGTCGCCCTGCAAGCCTTGTCCGGCCGACTTGTTACCAACCCCGCTCAGCTGCCCCAGGTGGTAGCCGACTTCTGGAAGGATGTGAGCAAGGCCCCGGACTTCATCTGCCCCCAGGCCCGCCAAGCCGTACTGAACTCCCTCACCGCAGCCAACATTAAGCTCCCAGCAGAGGCAGATGAACAGCTTGGAGCCAAAAAGATCACAGCCACCGAACTGTGGAAGGCACTCAAGAAGAGCGCACCTGGCAAGGCCCCAGGGTGGGATGGGATTCCAGCCGACATCTACAGGAAATTCTGGTCAGCCTTAGGTAATACCATGGCAGGCCTGTTCACTGCCATTGGCACGACCGGGCAGGTGCCCGCAGGCTTCCTTGAAGGGATCATCACAGTGCTCTAAAAAAAAGGCGACCCCAAGCTCCCCGGCAACTACCGCCCCATCACACTGCTATGCTCGGACTACCGGCTCCTTGCTAAGGTACTGGCGAACCGCCTGGGCCCCGCCCTGGGACGGGTCATCACCCCCGAGCAATCCGCCTTCCTCCCCAAGCGCCTGATTGGGGCCAGCGTACTCTTCCTGCGCCACCTGTCACACCTCCTCCGCAAGCAGAACCGCCAAGGGCTTTTGGCATTCCTGGACTTTGCCAAAGCATACGATACAGTGGATCGCGGCTTTCTCCTAGCGGCCATGGAGGCGATGGGGGCAGGGCCACAGCTGTGTGCGTGGGTACGTCTTCTACTGAGCGAAACCCGAGCCCGGGCGATGGTCAACGGGTACAAGTCCAGGCTGGTGGACATGGAGGCTGGTGTCCGACAGGGCTGCCCCCTGGCGCCTCTGCTGTACCTCTTCGTCGCCCAAGCTCTCCAATGCTGGGTGTGGGTGGGTATGAGCGAGTCGCGGTTGGGGTCTCCACCGCGGTTTCCACCACAGCGGTGTGTGTGTGTGTGTTATCACCCGGTGGGGGGTTAGTCTAGCGGGGGGGGGGGAGCTTTTGAATCCGCTGTTGTAACGCTCTTCGTTTCATTCGCTGCCGTGTCGCCCGCAGGAGTCGTTAGGGGGATCTCCGTGTCCCCGTGCTCAATGCCTTCAGGAGACTTTTGGCGTCAGGTCTTTAGGGCAGATAAGTGTTGGTGGGTGTATAGGCGGTTGTTGTTGTTGCTGTTGTTGTTGTTGTTGGTGGTGGTGGTGGTGGTGGGTGGCTGTACACCTGTACTGGATAAGGGGGAGGGGGTCTGTCCTGCCTTGATTGGCTGAGTGCTGCTGAGTGCGCGACCTTTCCCCCGACCTGACGGACGGCTAGCTGGCTGGCTGGCTGGCTGGCTGGCTGGCTGGCTGGCTGCCTTCGCTCATGGCTTTACTTCCACCGGTCGGGTCGGGATAGCAATGGTTCGTGAGTTGGCTGGCTGGCTGGCTGCCTTATTGGTGTACCTCCAGAAGGTCATACGGGTGTCTGTACGTATGTATGTAAGTGATTATGCACGTACTTATGTGTGTGTACTTATTTATGTTCAAGGATGGATTATTGGCCGTTTCACCTTCCTTATGCTTTCTGGCCGCGGCGGATTGGGGACCTTGTCCTACCACACCACCTCACCTACCCCAGAACGTGCGGATGTGCAGGCTGTTGGTTTTTATACCATCCAGCGGTGCACGCAAGAGCATCGCGACAATGTATGTCTATGTGAGAACATAAGGCCTGGAAGAGTTTACTTGTGAAAGAGGTGGCGGGCGCCCACACGCCCACACACAACCTTCATGGAAGCAGGGAAGCAAGGGGGAAAGGAAAGGAGTCCGCCTCTATCGGCTCCTTCGAGAAATCCTCCCGTGGCGGGCAGCGCTCCTATCTAGGCTGGGCAGGGCAGCATGTAGTAGCCTGGGTTGGGGGTTTGAACTAACGACTCACGGAGTCACACGAAACGCTCTTATTGCTCTCTCGGGCAATAGCAGCCCCTAACAAACCTGTGTAACAATGCCCCCATCAGCAGTTATCTTATATTAAATGCACTAGGTGGTACATAAATAAATAATAGAAAACTTGTAACTTCCTTCCTGGAGAACTGGAGTCGAACGCGCACCCACCCAGCCGGCCCGCAACCTCCCCTGCCTCGGTGGTCTCGGATGCCCCGAGATCCTCCGCAGCTGCAGCTGCCTGGTGCGCCTAGGCAACATCTCGCCTAGGCTAGTACGCCCGGGCCTAACGGCCTAATGGCCATGCACATATAAAATGCCAGTCCCTACACAGTTTTTGTATTTTAGTAGTAAACTACCTCTCGCTTGCAGGAGGAGAAGGGTACTCCGTACGTAGACCTTCGTTCATTATCTTCACCTGACGTAATATCGTTGTCCTGCATACTCAGAGCATAGCGTACGTAGTAGCTCTTCTTCCGCGGCGGCGCGGCTGCCCGGCTGGCGGGTTAGTGTGCGCCGCTGGATCGCTGACATCCCCATCCGTCCTTTTACTGCAGGCCCGCCTCCTCCTCCACCTCCTCCACCTCCTCCACCTCCTCCACCTCCTCCACCTCCTCCACCTCCTCCACCTCCTGCAGGCTCTGACAGCAACCTAGGGGGAGCGAATGCTCACATACAGCACCCTCTTACGGACGGGTAGCAGTGAGTCGTTCTGTTGGGAGGCCGGGAGCAGCCTTTCAGCTAGGTCTCCGTCTTAATTATTAGCTCATAGTAGCAGTATTACCAGCATTACCAGTATCAGTATCAGTATCAGTATCAGTTTAATTGCAGTTTAATTGCAGTATTAGCAGTATCAGTAGCAGTAGTAGTCACGCCGGGTGTGTTGAGAGCTGGTCGCGCAACTCGAGGACATCGGTTGTATGGTAGGTGCGTCAGCGGTCGCGAGGGATCGTGATGGATGGATGTGGATACCACCTCTGATATTTCCCACCTCGCTCACCTCACTACTGAATGGGCTCCTCCCTGTATGCGCATGCATGCAGCTGCTGTGCCTGTCGCCCCAGCCCGCCATATGCCTGCTGCTGCTGCTGCGCCGCCGCCGCCGCGACGCCATGGTGCCATTCGATGCGGCAAGACATAATCTGAGTTGAGGCTTAAGGGTACACTACAACACTGTAAGGAGGTCGCGTAAGGAGGCGGAGATCCACAGAGATTGGACGCGGAATGCGCGACGGCGTGTCGCACCACTTACTGTTGCCGCTGGATGTGGATGCGCAACTCACGTATTGTGCATGTCCATTCCTGTCCACCATCCACCTTAGGGTATTAAGAATACGAGATTCCGCTTCCCCCGTAGGGTGGTCCCACTCCCCATTCACTCTGTTATTTCCGCCAGCTCCATAAGAGAGTGTAGTAGAAAGTAGACATGGAGATATATCAACTCACCACACCTCACCACCACCATCAACCTTACTCGCATTACATCAACAGAGGATGTCAAATCAGGCCCTCGCTGTCCCTCAGTTGACAGCGAAAGCGTTATCGTTGTTTACGGGTTTGTGAGGAACACGATATGATTGACTGATGGCGAATTCTTCTCCGATTCTATTCCCCGGGTACTATTGTGGCGGGGGCGGGGGCGGGGGCGGGGGCGGGTACTTACCTGCCAATAATGTCCTACACACTCACGCACACGCAAATGCACATGCACATGCACAAACGCACATACACACATGTATACACACACACACTCTCACGCACGCGCACCCCGGGGTTGGGGGTACCAAAGTTAACACATAACCCCGTCTTTGATGCCAGCAGGTGTTACGGCGTACGGCATATATACGGCTGGAAGGGTTAGACCGGTGGCTTATTGAAGCACCGGGGATTTGTTTAGCACACATACACACGTACATACACATACATACACACACACTTGGGCACACACACATCAGTGGCGGCGGTCAGTCATCTCTCTGAAGTGAATGTCTGAAGTACGGCCAAGTGGGTCCATCCAGTTCTGCAATTTGCCTGAGGGTGCCGTACAAGGGGTATCATCAATGGAGCCGTTGGCTGAGCTGACGCCCGAACATCATGACAGCGCATTAGTGGCGGCGGCGGCGGTGGGGGTGGGGGTGGGGGTGGCAACAGTGGCTGTGGTGCCGCCGCGCCAGCCTCAACGATCAATGCGGGCACTTGATGGGCTTGCGCTTTCCGCCAGCCATGGCTACCGCGCATTGGATGATGACTGCGACGGCGAACGGGCCGCCATTCAGGGCTACTCCAGTCTACGACATGTCGTACAGTTCAACACCGACGCTGACACCGCACCTTTCAACGCTGCTTTCACCGCCAAGGCTCCCAATGCCTCCGCTGCCCCCGCCGCCCCCCCCGCCGCCGCCGCCGCCGGGGAGCCGCCTGCCTCCGTAACGGCCGATGTTCCCTCTTCTAGGGAAGCGCCACCACCACCACCGCCACCGCCACTACCACCACCACCACCTGCCAGCCAAGTCGCAGGAGAGGATATCGGCAACCTCACGGACCGGATCCGGCGGCGCTCCCGCCAACTTCATTGCAGTGCCGTACATATCACGCCGTATAAGTGTCATACCGACGTCACTGCCACCGCCACCATCACCATCCACGGCGACCAGTCGCGGCAGGCGCCCGTCATCCCTTCTCCGGGAACTTCCCTGGACTTCGGCAACCAAGAACCGCTGCCGCCACCACCGCCGCCGCCGCCACCACCGCCGCCGCCGCCGCCATCGGGCCCCGGGGGCAGTGGCGGGCTCCCTGGAGGGCGAACCTGTCCAACCACCCAGGTTAACCAACATTCAGTACTGGACCTCGGTTACAACCACCAGAGCAACCACAACCAATATAACCGCTACGACCAATCACAGCTGCATCTACACCAGCCGCCAAACGATGTGGTTTCGTACGGCGCCAACGGCCTTACAGACGGCGACTGCACACCCGGCACTGACTGCGCCACTACGCCCGCTACACGCGGGCATGCGGCTGTGGAAAGGTTGGAATCTGCGGGCTCTGCCGTGACATTTGGGGCCGGCATTGACGAAGCTGGCAAAGCAGCTGCGAGAAGGAGACCCATTAGTGATGGTGGTGGTGGTGGTGGTGGAGGTGGTTATGGCGGTGGAGGTAATGATGGTTGTGGCGGTCGAAGAGGCAGGAGCGTGCAAGCCTCTAGCCCCAGCACTGGTGTCGTACTCGACTCTCACCTACGGCAGCCGTACACTGTCCAGTACCATCATCTCCATCAGAGTCACCTCCTCCCCCCCGGGAACGACCGCGGGACTGCTCCGTGGGGCCCCCCCGGGTACGGGCCCCCCGCGGCTGCCCAGCCCGGACAGCCGGCCAACGGCGCGGGTGCCACCGCAGCCGGCGGAACGTCCACACAACTGCCGCCACAGGAGCTGATGAACCGCCAGCATGTGACAGCGCCGCAACTACCTCAACCGCCACTGTCAAGAGAAACGTACGGCACGGCGTACCATCCCCGCTCCTTTGGGAATCCTTTCCGTGCTCGAGGCTCGTCTGGTCCTGTAGCGGTCGCGGTGGTTGCAGATGACGAGTTGACAGACCACGGGCCACAGGGCCACACAACGACTGGAAGCGGGTCCTTGCTTGGTGAACGGGAGAATCTATACGGCAACATAAACATGGTGCCTTTACAGGCTGCTGGCCAAACAAAGTACAGTGATGCAGTACAGTCAGTCGGTACGGCCGTGCAGCATTATCCCATTGAGGAGCTGCCGTCGTCACCGCAACAACAGCACTACTATCGCCACCACCAGCATCAACCCCTACAACAGCAACGACACCATCACCACGATCACCACAATCAACCTTGGCTGCAGCGCAACCATCTTCATCCCCCCACACAACAACCTCGCTCCAACCTACAGCGTCAAGACTATCACCGTCGCCCTCTTCACCAGCAGCAGCAATTCCAGCAGCAGCAGCAGCAGCAGCAGCATCAGGGTCCCTCTCCGGGTGCTATGGCGGGGGGGAGTTCGCACCTCACTACTGCTACTGCTACTGCGGCACAAAGTCATGGGCAGTACCCTGCAGCCCAATCCAGCGAGAGACGCCGAATGTACGAACAACAAAGACAACAACAGCAACAGCAGCAACAGCAGCAACAGCAACAGCAACAGCTACAACAGCAGCAACAGCAACAGCAACAACAGCAGCAACAGCAGCAACAGCAGCAACAGCAGCAACAGCAGCAACAGCAACAACAAAGACAGCAAAGACAACAGCGGCAGCATAACCCGCCGCACTACCACCCGCACCAATACCACCACCACCTGCAAAATACCGCCTTCCAGACCTCCGCTGACATCCCAAGCAGCGGTGCTGACACCGCCGGTCGCTTTGGCATGTACGACAGCGTGCATGGACAGGGACTTGGCTTTCCTCAGCCCGCCGTGGAGAGCCAACAGCAGCCCAGCACCCCTGCCGCCGCCGCCTCCCGGTATGCCGACCTGGCGGATCCAATTGAAGGGCACAGTGCTGGAGGGCTGCGGGCGGAGCGCCGGGCGCTGTCGTCGCTCGACTGGCGGGGACCCTTATCGGCGGCTCTCCAAGACAGCGGCGGAGGCTTTCCGGGCGGCGACCAGGGCGGTGTAATGTACGGCAACAGCATGGATGTGTACGGCTTGACGCCAGCACAGCCCAACGAGGATACCGATGATGTCCTGTTGACGTACCTGCACCATGGTGGATCTACCGGCGCCGCAGCTGCGGCCGCCTTTGGTGAAGCCCGCCTGTTGTACCCGCCGACTGCCCCCGACAACCCTTCAGCCACCGCTGCAGACTCAGCACCCATGCGGAGCGCCTCCGCACCCGCCACCGTGAGCTCCTCCCAGAATCTTACCTTTGCCTTCGGCATGGGCGACGGTAATCGCCGTACTGCAGCGTGGGTAGGGGAGGAGGTGCAAGGCCAAGCAGCTGCTGCCCTAGCTGCCGGGGGCAATGTTCAGCCGACCCACGACTTCGGCGGAGCTGGACCTGTGATTGAGGCTGCAGGGAGGATCAGCACAAAGGGCCAAGGCAAACCGCGTCGTGGTGCAGCGGTGGCGGAGGTGGTTGCAACACCGTTGCCAGCAGCGCCACATGCGCCGCCGCTGCCCGCAATACTACTCGGGCCGCAAGGGGCAGCGGGGGCGGGGGCGGCAGGGACGAGCTCACGCGCACCGAAGCGCAGCGCCGCTATGGCGGCCCTAGCAAGGTTTCACAGCTCGCGGCAGGGTCGCTCGTCCAGCGGCGACAGCCGCTCGGTGGCGGCGGCGGCGGAGGACAGCCACGGTGGCGGTGATGCTGACGGCCAACAGGAAGGGGGCGGGGAGGAGGGGAACGGCAAGCGGCGGTCATCCCGGTTTCGGGGGGTAACGAAGCACCGCCGCAGCGGCAGGTGAGGAGGCAATGGCTCCCAGGGCGACTCCCTGGCTTCTTGCATCGTTATCTCCGTCAAACTCCAACATCAATAGAAAGTGCAGCAGCACCGGGCGCATCTGTGTATGCAAGTACTGGCAGAGATCAGGTGTTCATCTGGTACTGCAGTACTTGCTCACTATCGTATCCGCACCACCCAGCACCTATTGCACATGTGCCGTACGTACGTGACTTTGCCAGGTGGGAGGCGCACATCTGGGTGAAGGAGATCGGCCGTCAGGTTTACCTGGGCGGCTACGAGGAGGAGGTGCACGCGGCGGAGGCGTACGACGTGGCGGTGCTGAAGTGCAAGGGAACCAAAGTGCGGCCCCGCCACCACCCCAGCAAAGTCGCTGATGTACCTGATGTTGCTTCCAGAGAACAGTATTTTCTAGTAGCCCGTAGTGGAGGATTCTTGTTGATGCGTCTGATATGAGAAACCCTTAAAGCCAGATACCGCAAACACGGATTGTCAGCTTCAGTCTGCACAAAATGACATTACGACATAGTAGGTTAACAGTCCCCCCTGTCCAACCCCGTCATCTCTCCCCATTCGCCAATTAAACCGACCTCCTCTCCGGATGCCCTTTTCCCTTGACCCGTCCTGCCCGTACGCCCCGGCAGGGAGTGCGCACGAACTTCCCGATCAGCCAGTACCAGGGCCTGCTTCCGTCCCTGAAGGACATCGAACTGGAGGACCTCATCATGGCCGTTCGGCGCCAAAGTCAGGTAGGTTGAAAGAGCTCATTATGCTGTTGTGGACATCAATCATTACGTGCGTAGCTAGTAATTGACCAATAGTGTGTTTCCTGGTTAAACCACCGAGAAACAAGGGAGCCAAGCCAGCTGGCTCCTTGTACTTCATCATCTTGTGCCGTACTGACCGGTGTCGTACAATGATGCACTCTATTGGCCACATTGCCATGTGGATGCAGGGCTTCAGCCGCGGCAGCTCCACGTACAGGGGCGTCACGGCGCATCTGTCGGGGCGCTGGGAGGCGCGTATCGGCATCCCTGGAAGCAAGCACATCTACCTGGGGCTGTTCGAGAGCGAACGTGACGCCGCGGCCTCGTACGACAGGTCGCTGGTGCGGTTGCGTGGCTCTTCCGCTGCGACGAACTTCCCCCTCTCCGAGTACCGCCGAGAGCTTGCGGAGTACCACAGCTACCAGCAGGTGCGCAGTAAGGTTTCGTCAACAGGCCAACTGTGACAGCTCTTTGCGTTGCTGAAGTTCGTTCATCCAACTTTGCGTGCTGCTGTTGGCGCACATGTGCTCCACGCAGGCACAGGCTTCAGCAGGTAGTAGTGTGTCCTTGTTATTTCTTGCTCATCTCCAGGTCAGGTTCAGGAGTACATCGCCATCCATGGGGCGCCTCTTCACACGCCCCACTGCGCGCGCCACACACTGCCGCGCCATGGCGGATCATCCTCATGTCCGCATCCGCAATATCGTACTGCCGGCACACCCATCCCTGCCGTACATACACATACGCATGCAGGCCGTCTTGCTCCAGGACCAGCGGATGGCCTCCCTCATGAAGCCCGGCCCCGACTACGAGAAGTGGGTCAAGGCCGGGTTCAGTGCCTTCCCCCACATCCAGATGGAGCAGGCGGCTGCAGCCGGGGAGGAAGCCGCCGCGCGAGACCTGGAGCTCAAGCGCTCTTGAGTGCTCAATACTGCGGCCTGAGGGGGCAGCAGCTATTACAACACGCAAAATCACAGCTATCACAGCCACCATGCATGGCCATGGCGGCGATTGAAGAAATGCCTGCGCCGCAGAGGTGTCGAGGTGGCCGTTACTGGTGGTGTAAAGGGGGCTCACGGCAGCTGGTGCAGGGTGCTGCATGTGGTTTGGATGCGTACGGGTGCGTACCCCGTACCCATACAGCTGGGAGTGTGCGCAGGTAGCTTGGATGGCATGGAGAAGGTGGATGACATGGTGATCATGAGAGTGCATTTGGGGATGTTCTATTTGTGTTTTTGGCTGCCAGCCCGGTCTTCCAACGTCCTGGCTAGTGCATGTTGGTTGCGTGTCGGCGATTTCAGGTAAAACCGTTGTTTTGTTTACCCCTTAAATGGTCTAGGTCGTGAGTTTCTTTTTTTACTCTAGAACCGTCGCCTTGGAAATAACGACTGCCTCCTTACGGCCCGTAAAGCCGCTGTGTTTGCCATCATTTCCCAGTGGCGAGTGAAGAGGGTGATCCGTGTTGGCTATTTGACGGTTGGAACAAGGCCAGTCGCTACTTGGAACAAGTGCAAATTCGTACTAGTCAGTCATATGTTGCGATGTTTAGGCAGTTTAGGAAGTTCAGGAGAGAGAAGTGTTGCAGCTGTGTTGGCTGTTGTCAAATCATCGTTCCGCCAACAGCTGATTAGCAGTAGCCGGTTGTTAGCGGCAGCTTGCTTAGTTGCTGGCGATTGATAGTTGCTGTTGTGATGATGGGGCCGGGCGTTGGAGGCTAGCTGCAGCTGCTCGTACTAAATGCCGCGGCTGTGGTGGCAGGCGTCTCGTTATTCGGCTCTCTCCGGGGCGTTATAAAATTAGGCTATAACTTTTAGGTTGGTAGGCAGGAGCTGCCCCCATGGGATTGAAGGAACAAATCATTGGTTGGGTTGGCTGCGCGGAGGCTGCTGGCTTTTGAACGCGGTTATATGTTTTCGAGGGTTTCATTCTTCCATTAGCTCGTCGTAATATAATGCAGATTCGTTTATGTTGCTGGACTTTGGAGGCAAACAGAGCCCGAAGGGGCAAGTACCATGCACGTCCCCATGGGGCAGCGGATTTGCCGCTGTTGTGGAACCAATAGCCAGGTCGAGGATGAAAAATATATGTTAATGGAATGCCCAGCTTATAAATACTATTTTACGCGGAAGAAGGATTAAATTATTAACAGAGCATGTTGGAGGCCATGAAATGGAAGCGAGCCCGTCCTGCCAGTGGCCTGTCTGGCGAGGATGTTGGAACGTATGTGGGCTCACCGCAGCCCAGTTATCCCCTTTGGGCGACAGGTCTTTTTTCTTCTCCTGTTAGTGCGGTTTTTCTTATTTGTGGCTTTTAGGCGTTGATGCTTTGCCTTCGGGCCTTCAGCTCATATGGGTAGTCTTACATGTATAGGGTCACGCATCCCCAACCATGTAACGCACACACATACCAGACCTACCAATGCTTGCCGCTGCATTGCACCAACCTACATTTCACCTGCCGACGCAGCGGAAGTAATCTCATGCAAACATCCGAAGTGACCACCACCACCACCGCCATGGGCGCCAAGGCCGTACACGTCACCAGAGTCAATGTTCCCACAAGGATTGACAGCACCACCAGCCAACGACACTACCGCCGCCAACGACACTACTGCTACTGCCACCGCGGCTGCAGTCACGGATGTCGCCTCTCGTCCACCCAGCGTATTCTTGAGGTCTCTAGTTGCAAGCTTGCAGCACCGCGGCGGCAGCAGTGCAGTAGCTGGCCGCTGAAAAAGCCTCTCAAGAAGGTGGTCGAGCGCTTCGCGCGTATTTGTAGTCGATATGTGTGTATTGCCCATCCGTCATTCGATTAAGTCCGCGTCCTCTTCTGTGGATCCTAAAGATCCCGAGGTGTTTTATCACAGCGCATAGTGTCGTACATGCATGTGCCGTATGCATGACTCACCCAAGATTTGAGGCGTACATCCAGAGGATGGCGGTGGGGATCTACCGTTGCATTTACAACGAGGTAGAGCATGCGGAGTGTAATGGTGTACGACATCCTTGCAATGAAGTTCAAGGGAGCCAATGTACGGCGATGATGTATGTTGTTACACGGTGGTATAGCTCCACCAGCGGCCCCCTTCCCCAAGGCAGCTCCCTGCTCAGGGGAGAGCCTGCTAGAGGGGCACCCTAATCCGTTCACCCCATCCGACTTCAGAATGTATTCGTTGGGTTCAGCAACTCATCATGAACATCCAGTTAAATCCAGCGGATCAACGGCGCCTCAACTTCGTTTCTGATTAGCTCGCAAGTTGATATTATCACTTCCTATACCGTCCACGAGATGGGGAGCCACCTCCCATTTCAACTCTCCTCAAACACCCGAGGAGCCGGCAGGCAGATTTGAATCCGAACGCTTCGGGAACAGAAGTCAGGCCTTAACCTCTGCCAGCCGCCTGCCTATTTCGACAGATGTACAAATATGTGCCACGTCACCTCAACTGAATCATCACTGATGCTCTAAATTTCCAGGACAGCACACGCTGACTTGACCACACACCATATTATGTCCATATTATGGAACTCCCTTTTCCTTACACCTCTTCTGGCCGGGGTGTGTGCACCAACCTCTCCCGATCAGTAGGACCTGAAGTGGGGGCCCATCGCGTTAATGCATAATGAACTTCATGCATACCTCGTATATAATAAGCCAGGTGTCTGTATATACATTTGTGTACGCTGTTTTCAAATGTATGGTCCTATTTATGTAGGCCAGGCAGTACTGGTAACGCACACACCGATGCCCCCAGAGATTCCAGGATCGAGATTTAGTAGAGGCGGTAATTTATTCAATGGTGCTAGATTATAGTGCCCCTAGTTGATGGTTGGTGGTGAACTGGGACTTATTAGACTAGTGAGGTGACCAGGAATAGAGTTGAGCTGCCTTTCCAATAGATCCATTGGATGCCGGTGGTGGGTGCTGAACTTGAGTAATCTAACGAGAAGTCGACTAGGGTGACTAGATGAGGGTGCCCCAAAATACCGGGGAAGGCAGGGCTTCGCCGGGTAGCGGCGACGGGTGAAGATATGACCCCCCTGTCCCACACATCATATGGTTATGGAATGAAGGTATACAGATATACAGATATGCCCTTATATCCTTTCCTTGTCTCTGGATGTAGACACACCCACCTACGTAGACGCGCTCACACACGCACTGTGCTGTGTGATTGGCTATATACTCCGGTGAGTGCGCACACCGAGCGAGGATGGAATCAACATTGTCGAACACCACCGCTGCCAGTAGCTTCGTTGGTATATCTTCGCCGGGAGACATTGGCTATTGCATTACAAACTTTATGTTATTATTAAAGGGTTTATACAGAGCCTTTCGATTCACCTTCACCACCTAAATAAAATGATTATTTGGGACCCAGAATGAAAGAAAAGTTCACGTCATCGTATAGATGAGTTAATTATAAGGACGTGTTCACATGTGGGCGAATCAGGGTTGATTCATGCGAATTGGACTCTGAATTGGACCTGATTGGACCCGAATCGGAATTGGGGTCCGGGGGGGCCTCTTCGGGTATGATTCGACGTGATTCACAGTTTTCTTTCTCAAAACAAAGTTGTTTAACAAACCGTTTCTCATAATTACCATTACAATACTATAGGAACATTTTCCAATTGTTAATTCACGCAAAGCGCACCGAGCATTTTTCACGAACTCCTGCAGCTATGTATGTACAAGCCTGGTGATAATTTTCGCCATAGAAACGATACTTATACTGTTCTGTTCCTAGAAAATGCTGGCTTGCCTTGGGTGATGGGGCGTAGCCGCGGAGCTTCAGCTGGGCGCGGTGGCACCTCGCGCCGTGCAGCGAATCGTATGTGAACACAATTCAGAAAGCCGCCCCGAATCGGACTCCCAATCAGACTCTCAATTGGACTACATGTGAACACACCCTAAGTTTAGGTGACCACACGATCCACACAGCTACTTCAGCACACTCAAGATATGAAGGAAATGGCTGGTAAAGCTCCCTTAAGACCTCAAAGAGGCCCCATTTGGGTGTTGCGAAATAATTGCTATCAAGGGCCAGCAGGCTCGGGCCGGCGGCGGGTCTTGAGGTGCTGGAACACGATAATAGACGCGACGGGTACGCCGCCGCAACTTCACCCTACCATTCGCAAACGCTGCAAACAGGGATATTACGATAACCAGCAGCAGACAACAAGCTGATTACATACTTACTCCGGCTAACCGGTCCTCATATATTTTAGGCAAGCCCTTTTTTTCACAACAAAAACATTTGTTGGCCAAGGCCTACACATGTACATAGACAGCAACCGGCGGTAGTTCGACACACGACCAAAGCAAGGCCAACAAAAGCAGATTCAAGTTACCATTTGCAGCCTTCTTAAGGAAACACGAGATAGAACCAAAAAGATATAACGCAGCCAAACTAATTAGTTTAAGCTTAGAAGCTTTTGGCTTTCCCGCATATGAATGTGCCTTGATGGAATTCCATCAAGGCACATGCTTCCGGAAGGCAGTGGGATCGCTCGTGCATGATTGTGTGTGTGGTTGTTACATGATTGATGTATGGTTGCAATTCTAGCTCGTCTGTGGGAAGTCTTATCGTCTATAGATCGTGCCATTTCCTTTATTAATGGCACGATTGAAAGTCGATAAAAAAAATATACAGACGCAAGCGAGAATCGCTGCTGGCTACATCCATCAGACTCACGCAGTAACAGGACGGAGATGCAATCGCTTGGGAAAAAGGGGATGGCGACCGAATGACTAGGTAAGCAATACAACCCACTGTAACAACCACACCACCTAATACAACCAAACACACATGTGCATTTCATGGGTCCACAATCCTTCGCAGAAGAAGGACGCAGAAGATGACGCCGAAGAACGGGAACCACGCATGCGATACCGTGAAAGGTACTCGACAGATGCGCCTATCTTCACACAGATAGGCCAACAACACTTCCAAAAACAAGCCAATATCGGTCAATAGCATTCAGAGAATTTGAGAACAGGGCAAGCTGTTGAGATGAGGAGTTGAAGTCTCGATTGATGGGCAGAGATTCGCATAATGGACTGATGACGACCATTGTACCCTCTATCTCTATGGAAGTTCGGGTAAGAGGATAGGTGGGATTCCAGAAGACAAACCATCAGCCTTGGATTTGCAAGCAAGGGCCACATTGCACCAGTCACAACAGCAAGTCGATCTAGTGGGAGCTACGTACCTGGGCCTTCCCCCCAGTCCATTATTTAACGAGCTTTTGGGGCTGAAGCTCAGCAGCCTCCGGGCTTTTAAGGATGGACTTCCCAACGACGTTGCTACTTTAAACTTCTTGCCACGAACCTCACTGCTGGGCTCCAATAGACCACCTTTGCTATACATGCATTCATGGACGGCCGTCCAATGACGCCCGAATGAAGCATCGCAACGTGATACGCGTGGATCAACACATCTATCGCATTTTGCTCGCTCCGTTTCAGTCACTAATAAACGGGTAGGAGAGCAGACGGGGAGACAAACAAACAAACCAACTGGCCGACTTCAGTAACAATTAACTTCGAAATGGGCCTTGCTTAGATCACCATATGTATGTACTGGCTGATTATTCATCACGACAGCTACAGCACTGGTGCAAGAAAACGTGGTGGAGGTTCTACTTGTCCCTGGGCATAAGAAAACTAGTGACGCACCGGAAAACAATGATGCTATTCAAGTGACCATAACAACAGCCGAAGACCGGAGTCTAAAACGGATCGCAAGAAACTGTGGAAGTTGTCAGGAACTTAGGGAATCACATTAAGTATTTGTGTACCGACGGCCTTGCGCCTTGCTGGTAGGCGGCTCGGTAGGCTATCCATGTGTGTTTCGGTGTTAGACCGTGAGGGGCGATGTGAGGCGGCCCCGCGCCGCCTCACGCAGGCCCCTCAGCAGGGCGGAGAGCAGGTGGGAGCTCACCTCAACCACCTCCATCACCTGAAGATGATCGGGTGAGGTGGTTGGGGAGTTGAGGTGGTCATGTATGGGTATTTAGGTGGTTAGGTGGTCAACAGGGAATGAATACATCTCCCACCACCAGGTGATAGTGCTATCAGGTGGTTGGTAAGGCGGATAGTGATGTTGCTGGTGGTGCTGGTTGGTAAGCTTTGGGACATGTGCAGCAGCCGGGGCTGCATGGCCGGCCAGGAGCTCCTCAAGTCAGGTGAGCGAGTGTATGTGGTGGGCACATGCGGCACAGGTAAGGCAGTCACATTATGACCCAAGTCTCGTTATTGGAAAGGGAGCAGACTTGGACACTCCTCCTCATGGGTACCATGATGCCTTCCCCGCTCTTTCTCCGCCCTCCTCCACGGCTACCAGCTAGCACTCCACGACTGAGGCTCTCCTCCCTAGACAGAAACCCCCTACCCCACTTGCTTCTCCCCATTCGTACCTGGCCAGTCGTTGGATCGTCGTCCCCCTCCGGGATTCCCGCAATCACCATAACGGGGTTAGGCAGGTCCCCGGACAACACCACAACTGCGCATTGCTCCGCGTCCAGCCCGAGGTCTGAAAGGAGGGAAGCCAGCGGGAGGAAGGGGACCAGAGGAAAGAGGGGTTTAGACAAAGGGCGGGAAAAGCAGCAGCAGCAGCAGGGGGATGAAGACGAAGGAATAGTAGGGATGGCGGTGGAGTGGGGCCACACTGTCTGTCCCCCATACCTCCCGATTCCCCTCCCCCCCACCTCCGCTTTCCCCCCCCAACCCATCACCTCCCCTCCAACCCCCTGCCAACCTACTCGGGTTTCGCCACGGCTCCAGCCCCCACTGTACGGACAACCGAAACACCTCGTCGGTTTGCAGTACATCACGGATGGAGGTCCAGGGGCCCCCTCCCCAGTACTTGGCCTGGCCGGGATGCGGCATCACAAGAGCCGCCTCAACAAGCAAGGACAATGAGCTTGTAGCATGGGACTCCTGGTACGCCTTGACTTCGGGGTCCGAATGCGGCGGTGGCGAAGTGAGCACAAGGGTGCCGCCCTCGGTGGGAATCTGAACGGGTGGGTGGAGGAAGGCCGGTAAACACAGAGTGAAGGTTCCAAAACGGGATAACCGTTAAATGGAAGCCGGAGTGGGGGGAAGGGCACTGGGAGGAAGGATCGAAGGGAAAGGGGAGTGAGAAGTAAGGTTTGGGTGAGTCTTGCAGCTGGCCATGTTGCAGTACCTTCGTTCACAACCCAAAACACCTTGGGTTCTCTAAACGCCCACACAGTCAAAACAGACGTCTGCCGTCTGAACAAACACATCCGTTTCCAAACATTCAATTAGTCATTTCTTCCACCTCCGCTGCACACACCCATGCGCCCATGCACACACCTGCACCTTCGAGCTGGTAGCCCCCCACATTGCCGTATTGTTCCCCAAGTTACGTCGGGGCTGAAGCTGGTCAAGACCGCGGGCCTTGCATGTGGGACTGTTGTACACCCGGATCGACCACCTGGGGGGATTGGGGGGTTGACGAAATTCAATACGACGGATAAAGGTAGTAAAGGGGATGGAGAGAAGGTTTCCATGATGGGTTTTAGCCTGGCCTCACAAAGCGAAGTGCCGAGGGCTTGGTTCTATGGTCCCCGCCTGAAGAGGCCATTCCAGGAGCCCGTTGAGGCCGTGCAGGTGCTGGGGACGGGTCGGCCCTCCCCCAGCCCTCCTCCCCCCTTTTCGCCCTTAACTGCCTCCTTTTTCACACTTCCCTCGCTCCCCGCCCCACCCTTTCAGGAGGCAATTAAGACGGGAATCCATGGCAATGACGGCATAAATGATGATTTCGAAACCCTCCCTCCCTTCACCTTCCCTTGCCTCCGCTACCCCGGCTATTGGGGTATAACTTGACGGCATCCTTCACTTCCATACTCCAACGTTCACCCCAAACCCACAACCTCTCTCCACGCCCTGAAAACACCCACTCACTTCCACGTGGCCATCTGTGCCTCCATGATGCCGTACGCCCACGCCACGGACGCCTGCACCATGTGTCTTCCGGGCACCCCCTTAGTCACCTCCTTCCACGCCGGATAGTCCACCAGCGGGATCAGGGCCAGCACGCGGTCTTCGGGAAGGAAGGCGCGGGCGCTCTGAGTCTGTGGGGAGGGAGGGTGTGGGGAGATCAGGAAGGAAAGAGCGAGGGGCGGGGAAGAACTGCAAGGATACTAATGAATATAAACTGTGACGTGCTGTTATATCACGACTACAACTGCTACAGAAAAGCACCGATCGACAGGTGCCCATCCCGAGGTATGATATGCCCGGAATACATCACATTTAAAGGGCGGGAAGGGTTTTCGAGGAGAGTCCGCAGAGCCAGAATGGAACCGATTACAAGGCAGAAGGAAAGGGCGACTAAGGGACAGAGCGCATCAAGGCGGTGAAGTCTCTTCCCGTCCCCTTACCCTCCCATGGCCTCATCCTCTCCCTCATCCCCTCATTCTCGCTCTTTTCTTTCCTACCGCCGTCCCCTTCCCCTCCCATGGTCTCATCCTCTGCCCTCCTGTCGCCCGCATGCGTTACCTGGTGATTGTTGAGCAGCACAAACGCCTTCTTGGCGGGGCTGTCCGCCTTCTTGATGTCGCTGATGAGGCCGCTGCGGTCCATGGTGATCCACATCAGATCCTTACTAATCATGGCCAGGTAACCAATGCCGTCAGAGGGGTGATCGCGAAGAACCCTGAAGGGATTGTGACATACAAACGGATGGACGGGTAGGGAGTCACACTGACTTACATATACGGGCAGGCAAAAGCCTCAATTGAACCTCGTTTCATATCGCATACATGCATATATACATACGCATATTATAGGCAGGCGGCTGGCAGAGGTTAAGGCCTGACTTCTGCTCCCGGCCGACCCGGGTTCAAATCCGCCTGCCGGCTCCTCGGGTATTTGAGGAGTGTTGACATGGGAGGTGGCCTCATATGGACGATGTGGGACGTGATAATATCAACTTGCGAGGTAACCAGGAACTAAGTTGAGGCGCCATTGATCCGCTAGATTTGGATGGATGCTGGTGTTGAGGTGCCGAACCCAACGAATACATTCTGAAGTCGGATGGGGTGACGGATTAGGGTGCCCCTCTAGCAGGGGAGAGCAGGGACTGCCCCGGGAAAGGGGGCCGCTGGCGAAGTTAACCACCCTGTAACTACATACGCACTTGATAATGCCGGTGTAGTCTCCCTCGTAAAAGCCCTCGAGTGCCTTGTCACCGAACTTGAGGTACAGCGGTCCCAGCTTCGGGTGGCTGTTCCAGGGGTTGAATTCGGTCCAGTCCACCACATGGATGCTCTGATACGAGTTGACTTGGCCTTTAGGACCAGAGGCGGGAAATACATGCAAATTTAGGACAAAGATCAAATTTGTAAAATGCTGCAGAGAGAGCACAGTGGAGAGGTGGATTGCGAGATGGAGAGCGAGGAGAACAGTGAAATGCAGATCAAAGGGACACGATCATTGATGACCTCACCATAGGGAGGGAGATGGAGGGGGGGGGGAGGAAATGTGAGGGAGTGTTGCTGCAGGGGGAGAGTGGGGGAAAGAGATTATCCATCCCCCACACGCACGGATCCCACCTGCACCGCCATCAGTGCCTCTCCTTAACGGATGCCCACCCCACACACACACAAACCCGCACCCGTACGTACCTTCCCCCCTCAGCGGCCACACAGACAGGCTGTTGGCTGCCACCGCCTCCTGAATGGTCCACACACGCCGCATGTACGAGTTGTTGACCAACAGAGCCTTAACCGCTGACCGGCTCAGTAAACTAACACCCCCTGAAGTGGAGCACGTCATTAGGCAAGGCCAGTCAAAGTCAAAGATTGGCTGTACATGCGCCTGGTGGTGAGAGATGGTGCTCAGATGGAGCCCACACATGGCGGACTCCATACCATATATATGTAACATATCGTCGTTTAAATTCAAATAACGTGAGGCACACATCATTGTGGCTGGCAGGAGTTAAGACTTGGTTTCTGCTCCCGGAGAATCTGGGTTCAAATCCGCCTGTCGATCTCTCGATGTGTGAGGGGTATTGAAGTGTGAGGTGGCCCCCCATCTTGTGAACGGTGCAGGACGTGATTACAGCATATTGTAAGCTGGCCAGAAGTTGAGGCGCCGTTGATCCGCTAGATTTGGTTGGATGTTGGTGGTGAGTTGCTGAACGCAACGAATACATTCTGAAATTGGATGGGGTGAATGGATTAGGGTGCCCCTCTAGCAGGGGAGAGCAGGGCATTGCCTCGGGAAAGGGGGCCGCTGGTGAAGCTATACCACCCTGTAACAACATCACAGGTTTGATCCAAGTCGAATGCCCCCCAGGTCACCTGCCTCTTCCACTAGTAAGGTGGCAGCAATTGCACGTGCAAAGCCAAATCTCTCCATACAAACATATGCAAACGTACACAAAGGGACTCACTGTACGAGTCCATCTCGGAATTGTACTGCTGTACGATGCTGCGCGCCTCCTGGAGTAAAGAAGGTGTCCAAGGGTGAGGAGCCGCGACGTAGGGACATATATACATGCATACAACACGTGCTTAAGCAGCGTCTGGTAGCTCAGGGGCTTCATGCAGTGAGCGTACTCCAAGGGTTTTGAGAGGGGCAAAGTGTAGGAGCCTAGCTCACTTATAACATACGGTAAGGAAGATGCTGACAAGAATTTCCGCCAAACCCAAAATACTTGTTGGCATGGTGACCCTCCAGCCGAACCAACTAGCAAGAGAAGAGCAAAGGATGGTGAGGTAGCGAAGCTACAGCATTAGCCGCGGACTTAACCCTGCAAAGCCAGGAAGAGTACAACCGCCAAGAACTATTGCGCAGCCCAGGTTCCAGGTTCGCAGCAAACGGGCAGCTTCAACCCACTGGCAGCAACACGCACCTTGGCGTTCATGATCTTGCCTGTCGCGTAGTCCACAACCGGGGCAATAATCACATACACCTGACATAGCAAGGAAAGGGAAAGGGCCCTCAAGAATTAAACGAAATAAAAAGGGGGATATCAAACTAGCAAGGGTAGGGCATGTAGGTGTTGTATCACGTCTTATCGCAGTAAAAGAACCGATGGGCGGATATCAATCCCGTGATACCCAGGATACTACAGTAGGTAAGTAAGCAGTTAAACCGTAAGTGGGTGAGTAAGGACCGTAAATGGGCGAGCAAAGGCTTTCTGTGATTGAGAGAGGTCCGCATTAGCACCCTTGCTGTCCTTAGCTAGCTTACTTGTCCGGCTGTGTAGATTGCGGGGCTTTCCTTGATGTAATTCATCTTCTCCTCCAGGTTCGCCAGGTCCTTGAGGGTGGAGGAGGGGGGGGGTAAGGTGCATTGAGGGGGAAGTAAAGGCGGGATGTGAGATACATGATGAAGTGCAAAGACATCGACTGCCAATGTTAGCCAAGCAATTCAGATCCCAGAGGTCCCCTGCAACCTTGCACAGGGGGTCAATTGATTGGGACAAGGAATCTCCCTTTTCTGAAGGGATGCATCATGCAGGGTGAGAGACCTGCCCCTACAATGCACCAACATTCCCAGCTACCCAGACAGCCAGAGACAACCTAAACCATACCTGCGGTACACACATCTGATCCACCCAGGCATACTTGGCTTTTTTGTTGGTGTGCAGCCACAACAGCCAGGCGGCGACCTGGGGGGGGGAGCAGCAGGTAGCAGTAATGTCAGAAGATGTATTTGTCAAAAATAGCACAAATAACAGCAGCATCGGCAGCAGTGGAGGTGGCAGGTGGCGGTAATAGTAGCGGTAATACAAACGGTCGCAAACAGGTAGGCAAAGCAGAAGATATGGAAAGGACGGCAGCACGATTTCTTCAGCGATTACTCTGCGTCCAAGGAGGACCACTTTGCGATGGCCAACAATCACGCACCTCAATTTGTATGGCATGGCCGTCCGCTAAGGACCAGTTGACAGGCACTGGCCCATTATCAGGCAGGTCGTGAACCGAATAGCCCTCTCTGCCGCAATCGGATATCCACGTCTTGTAGTCGTTGATATTCTCAGCGCGGCCACGAACGCGCCATCGGTAAGACAGCACGGCTGCGTTCTGCAGGCATTTATGAGGGCCAGGTTGGGCATGGGAAGGGGATTCCGCAAGGCGATCCTGACCAATAAAAGCTTTCGGAAGACAAAGATTCCGTCCAGAAAGGCATCCCTAAAGGTACGAGATGTTAACTCGCATTAAGTTGAGCCACTTGCTCGCTTCGTCCGAAACTGACTTCCCTGACGTACCGCTTCGGTCTTATCGGTAATGTAGCACCAGCGCTTTTGCCATGCATCCTTCTGGTATGGCGTCTCGGTACCAGTTCCTTGCAGCTCCGACAGTATCGCCGGGACATCATCTATCTTCAAGTAACGCGGCATCTTATCTCACCACCTTACAAGTCAAGATGTGAAAGGAAACGTAACCAGCTAGGTACTTAAGGAGAGTTCAGTTTTAGCAGCGTTATATAGTCACAAGCTTCCGACATTGTACGGCCTAGGCGAGCAGTTGACGAGCCGAGCGCACCAGTAAGCCGAGCTGAAAGGGAGAGTGAAAAACAGCAAGGTAGAAAATTATATTTTAAGCTTTAAAATTACAGACCTGAATAGGAATGATGAAACGCGAGTTCTTTGGGCCATACGACCAGCTCGGACGAGATCAGGATGCGATTGCATCAGAGCGCGCTTAACCTTGGCAGTGTTTTTAAGTATTATACAAATGTCACGCATATTGACAAAAGGGGCTGAACGGCTATGCCCATCGGCACTTCCCGGGTGCATGGACCGCCCGCCAAATTTAGTTTTGGCATGTTTTTAAACTTTGACTTAGGGTTGTTATTATCGGCATTTTCCGGATGATATACAGCTAGTTAATTTGATAAGTAAACTTGGATTTGACTTGATGAGTAAACTTGAACTTCACGTAAGACATTCGCGTTTGGCCTGCTCGGCCATTCGGCGTCGCCATTATTACTTTTGGTAATAACACAGCTTCTCAGATTGAGACGTCGCAATCCTCTCAAATTATTTGGCGTTTGGGGTTCATTTGGGCTCCCCCGTACGTAGGCGCCCTTTACGAATGGGTGAATATTCCTGATGTCACGAAATTGAACTTTTCTTTTTGGATTTACCCATTGTTTTGTTGTAAGCTATTTCATTTATCTGACACTCGGGTCCAGGGTGTTAAGAAACGCTCAACCTCCCCATTCTTCCTGCAAAGCCATACATATTTTGGTCGGCTCTCTTTATAATATTAGCTTAGTACCAGCTGAAAGCGGAGTCTTGGTCCTTTAGTCCTTCTCAGCTCACGGAGGTTAGGTACGATAACACGTGAAGTACACCGTCGCCATTCCAAGTGCAGCAGAGTGCAGCCTTGACATTTGGAAGCGCTTGGATCAATGAATACAAATGACACGTGCAAGTAACTGGTAGGATGAGTCAGCGGGTAGCATCGGCGCCGTTAGCGCCGAGATACAGCAATCCTAAGTAACGAAACGGCTTTTGTATCGCACTCTGAAGGCAGTGAGGAATGCGTATGCACTGTTCACATGTGCGGGCGGAAAGAAGCTGCACATGAAAAGCAACTGCCGGCTGTAAGTTGGGCAGTCCAACAACTCAGTAGCCCCATAACGAGGCATGACTTTTACACTACTGCTGCTTAAGCAGCACAAAACTTCGCAACGTTTCCTTGTCCAAGCTGCAAGAACAGACTTCTCCGCCCACCCTTACGCCCGCCTGAAGCCAATAAGAAGTTTCACCAATTCGTTTGTCTAGCAGTATAGTTGATCATGAAACGGGGGCCACACTTAGCCGTACACCACCACATCCCACGCAGTACAAGAAAGGACATAATGCTTTAGTACCACAGATATCCATTATGCTGCACAAAGTAGGCCTTTCATGAAATGGCGTCTTACCCCACGGACCACCGGATCCCATTTAGGCCTCAGCTCAGTCTGGCTCAGTCCTCTTAGAATCAGCAAAGCGCCGGATCCCTCGGGTCCCATTTCTGCAGTCACGAATACAAGTATCGCGAAAAGGTGGTCTTGATGGTAGCCAAACTAGGATCTGCAATTGGTTGGCAGCTGTAGTAGCTGATATACAGAACAGGAATGAACGCAGAACAGGAAAGATTAATAAGCATTAAGTACAAAGAGGTCTAACAGAATTTCGGGAGCTATTTACAGTGACTAGGTATTTCAATTGACAACTAGACATCGTGCATTTAAAATATCCTAATTCGACACTGACGGATTTGACGTTTCATAATTCTTGGCGAATTGAAACTGTTTCTGGAACATTAATCAGCTAGGCGCATTCACAGAAGTGTTTTTTTCCATGTTTGTTTGCCTGTTTTTCAGTCTGAGTGGAGGAATAGGTTTTTAGTCGCGGAAATATAAGTATTTCAAATCTATAAGGCGCGGGGGGTCCATTTTTGGCTGGAGGAATGAACTTGCAAGTTCCGTACAATTGTACGGTCGGAACAACTAATCTTAATTTTCAGGACCACGAACATTTTTTTATTCCTGAATTCGGAATATATCCTGCATTACTAGCTGGCACCAGTTTTTTTTTCATTTTTGCCGGTTAATTTTCCAGTCCGAACGGAGGAATAGGTTTTTAGTCGCGGGAATAAAAGTATTCCAAACCTGTAAGGCGCTGGGGGGGGGCTCCCTCCGATGCCCCCAGACCCCCCCGATGAGTTACAGTTTAGTTCGTGCAAACGCCGGCTTTGGGGAATGTCGCAACACGCGCACACCACAATCTCTCAAGCACTGATCGAATAGAGTTCGTTCACCATCGTTCGTCTTGCATCACGTTGAAAGATAACACTACACGACTTTCCAGGTTGCAGAAGTAATGATGCATAGCAGCAATGAACCGGAACCACCAAACGCAACCTGTTTCCTGGCCCATCGCGATTGTCTCCATATGACTGTTTGGCCCGCTCGCTGTTGACATCCGGAGTGGCGTTGTAGCGACTTTCAGCTGGTCACAGAAATCTGAGTTTGACTCCTTTGGTCGCGTATTGTTCCGCGCATAGCAGGACGAGGCCGAACATTGCCATATCATTAATTAGAAACTATAAACGTGTTGAGAACGGTCATATGCTTACGGCGCGACGCATGTAGGTTTCGATCTCGCGACGTAAAAACAGATGTTTTGTGTCTTATACGATTTAGCATCGGTCTGAGAAATGCTCTAATGACAGATATCTTTTACTAGTTTCTTGTCAGTGTCCGTTGGCCGCTAAGAACCTGGCCCGGAGCTGCGTAAACCGGTAGCTACCATTGCGTAATGAAGTAGCTGCTACGCGAAAAGGGTAGCTGCGTCTTACGTTGACCATACGACAGTGGTACGAATGGCGGGCGCGTTTGCCATATATAAGGCGCGGCCTGACCGATGTTTTCTAGGGGACAATCGAACCATACAAATCCCGCGCACGGTAGCAGAACGCACCGGCCGAGGAAGTTTGTAATGAGTATCGCCCTCACTTGGCGTGGATGACTCCACCCATTTTATCCTGTCAACAACCGGCAAAGTTCCAACCTGACGGTGGGCCTAGTGGCCCAAGCAGTAAAACTCTGCTCACATCAGGCTCACAATCACACCTGGGCCTGCAGTCTCAGGACAAAACTCTGATTCTGCTTCCGCTCGTGCACACAAATCTCGATCCTATCTCGCTTAAGACAATCTACTGGTATCGATTCCTTTCTATAAACGATCCTGGGCGCCCCGGTGTGTCCATCCAGCGGTTCCCCAAAACCCGGGAAAGTTTTGGGCTGCCGCTGGGTGCCGCCCGCCGTGGTGCGGCCGGTATTGAGACTAGGGTTTCAGCCCTGTCTCTAGCTACTTTTGAACAGTCTATTTGGTGTCCCACTGGTTGTACAACTTGTACGCCATGGAGAGCCAACATCAATCCCACTTTATCACACACCCTCATCCCTCGAGCGTCTCGTCTGTGCCTATCTTCCGGCTAGGTGACAGCGCATGCCAATGGGTCGCCAGGGTTGAGAGATGCGGTGGGATGTACGGCTGGAGTGAAGAAGCTCAGCTGGACGTCGCCATCTGCCGCCTAGGAGATGAGGCCATCTGCTGGCAAGCCGGCATGGAAGCGTCTCTCCCCGATTGGCTTAGCTTTAAGGCCGCATTATTGGAATGATTTGATCCGACTCAAGAAGAGTTTTTTATGTTGAGGAAACGGTCCTCTCCCAACTCGTGTGGTTATCGACCAGGGGATTTAACCCTGGGTCTACACGTAACTCTTGGGGAAGACTTAACCCTAAACGTATGGGACTACCGATGCATATTCGGTAGTTAAGTGGTGCACATTTGGGCACCGTCAGGACGGCGCAGTGAGATCGCGGAATGTACGAAGTTTTCCACTGGCGCCAGTATTTAGGGCGGTGACCGTGCTTATTTCTCTCTCACTTACATCGAGCGGTATTCCTTTCAGGAATCTCCTAAAGTCCTGCCGATCGCTACTATTACTTTTTACATTACTTGTAACAGTTTATCGTGCCCAATATCTTCACTGCCGGCATTCTTTTTCCTAAGTAACAATCAGCGTCAGCTGCCACCACTCTCGATTCTTCAACAGGTTATGAGCCCCGACTAGCGCCGACAGCTATCATCCAATTGTTATTTCTATCCCTTATCGACAATGGTCAAGGATAAGCTTGATGAGCCGCTGGACCTACACAACTACTCCACATGGCAAATCAGGTTTAGCGTGATGTGCATGGAGCTTGGGCTTGAGCAGGCTTTGCTCGCCGAACCGTGCAACCAGGAGCAGATTCGTCAATCACGGAAAGTCGTCAATCTGCTGATCAAGAACGTCACCGTAGCTGCTCGTAGCGCAGCGAACAGTGAAGCGGAGGGAAGGCATCTCGGAATCGCGTCCGTGACCGGCTCGTGTCTGGGGCTCGTGGATAGTCGCGCTCGATTGGATGGTTCCGGAGCTTCGCGGTTGCTCACGTTTTTCGTTAGCGCGCGCCCTCTTCACGCTCAGAGGTCGCGGGTTCGAGTCGCACACCGCGAATTTCGAGTTGCACACCGAAACGTGAGGACGCGAGGACGACAGGTCGCGGGTTCAAACCATGGGTCGCATGCGAGGATGCGAGGATGCGAGGATGCGAGGATGCGAGGATGCGAGGATGCGAGGATGCGAGGATGCGAGGATGCGAGGATGCGAGGATGCGAGGATGCGAGGATGCGAGGATGCGAGGATGCGAGGATGCGAGGATGCGAGGATGCGAGGATGCGAGGATGCGAGGATGCGAGGATGCGAGGATGCGAGGATGCGAGGATGCGAGGATGCGAGGATGCGAGGATGCGAGGATGCGAGGATGCGAGGATGCGAGGATGCGAGGATGCGAGGATGCGAGGATGCGAGGATGCGAGGATGCGAGGATGCGAGGATGCGAGGATGCGAGGATGCGAGGATGCGAGGATGCGAGGATGCGAGGATGCGAGGATGCGAGGATGCGAGGATGCGAGGATGCGAGGATGCGAGGATGCGAGGATGCGAGGATGCGAGGATGCGAGGATGCGAGGATGCGAGGATGCGAGGATGCGAGGATGCGAGGATGCGAGGATGCGAGGATGCGAGGATGCGAGGATGCGAGGATGCGAGGATGCGAGGATGCGAGGATGCGAGGATGCGAGGATGCGAGGATGCGAGGATGCGAGGATGCGAGGATGCGAGGATGCGAGGATGCGAGGATGCGAGGATGCGAGGATGCGAGGATGCGAGGATGCGAGGGCACAAGGACGCGTGAGCGTGTGGACACATGGGTGTATGGGACCGTGGCACCGTGGATGTAGCCACACGTGGATGTAGCCACACATGGACGCGTGGACGTGGGACATGAGGATGTAACATGGGCGTGTGCATGAAGCGTGGAAACGTGCATGTGTACCGTGAACATGTGGCCGGGGACACGTGGATACTGGGCCGTCAGGCCATGGGGACGACTGGGTGCGGTGGTGGGTAACGAACAACAGACGTGCGTAGTTCTGTTGTTCGACATGAACTTGCAAGGTTAAACTTTTATCACAAAATATCAGGATAACCGGGGACGCCTGGGCGTGGCTGTGGGTACTTCCACATAGTTCCACTGTGGGACAGGACTTGCAGTGGAAAACTAGACTACAACGGCTCCACCACGAAATGACGTGAAGTCGCGCACACCGCAACATTCCCCGGGATAAATTCAGTCGCAGAAATTCTATAGAATCATACGGATTCAGAATACATTCTATCAACCAGCGATGCTGTGCAGCACAGTTATTGTATAGAAGTAATGTGTGCCATTGGCCCTCGAGTGCATTTATTAATTTTGTCAAACGGATCCAGGATAAAATTTATCATACGGATTCAGGATAAAATTCTACCAAACCGCGGTGCTGCGCAACATACATGCATATTGTATCGATGTACTGTGTTCCATTGGCCCTCAACTGCATTTCTTGAGGATAGGAGGATAACCTGTCGCGACATCAGTCTGACCGGCCATTTCTATGGACAATTCTGGTTCCGGTAAGGAGTCCTGGTTGGGACTGATGCCCGTGATGTTGCTCCATCTCCTGCATGGGCGGTAGACTAGTAATCCTCTTCCTGACATCACGCAGGATGTCGGCGGTTAGGTACAGTTGCAGGTGGAGGCTCGTGGCTTCTGAGCTTGACGGGCCGGACTCAAGCCACACCTTCCCCCCCGACACCCCAGCTGTCCAGTGTGGATGCAACCAGAAAGGCGCAGGCGTGAGCCAACCGGACGCCTGAGCAAGTGGCGGCGGATCGAGCAGCAGCTGCAGCGTGATGGGCAGATGCGCGAGCCAACCGGACACCTGAGCAAGTGGCAGCGGACCGAGCAGCAGCTACTGCTCGGTGGGCGCGGTGGTCGGAGGTGCGAGCCAACCGAACACCTGAGCAGGTGGCCACACATCGAGCAGCACATGCAGCTCGGGTAGCAGAGGCACGAGCCAACTGAACGCCTGAGCAAGTGGCGGCAGACCAAACAGCAGACGCAGCTCGGAAGCGTCAAGCCCGTGTGATTCAGCAACAGTCATCTGAGGAGCACACACCACAACGCACCCGCCGCAGCAGGGGTAGCCTTGTGGAGGCAGTTTTGGATGCTGCCTTCTGGCTGTTCAGGCGGCCGACAAACCCCACCAAGCCTCGTATGGGTGCCTGGTTAGACAGCAGTACAGCTTCATGGCCGGAACATGTGCAAGATGTTCCTGCGGGTCAGCCTCTGCCCACTGTTCCTCTAGTAGAACAGATCCGAGTCGCCGAACAGCTTGATGCCGCTGTCAAACACAACATGCCATTGTGTGTCTGCACCTGCTGCAGCGAGATGAAGTCCGCGGTACAGGCACACGGCTACCGGTTTGGTGACATCCCCAACGTGCACCAGTTGCGTGCAGATGTTTGGAGGACACTGGCAGTGGCGTGTCCAGCTCAAGTCGTCGCATGGCTACCAGTGGCAGCCGCACCATGGGGCAGAGCACCACCACCACCTGAGCCAGCTTTGCCGTGGGGCTTCCGAAAGACGTGGCTCAATGGGCATTCTACGGAGAAGACGGGGCTCACCAAGCATCCTGGTACAACAGGGGACTCTGGTGGTTCAGATGACCAAGAGCACCGCCAGCCCACCCAGCAGCGCAGTTCGTTGCAACAGGCGCGGGACCATTTGAGCAACACTGGAGCATACGGCTTCCCGGAGGACTTTCCGCCGCATGAGGCGGGCCCATCTAGTCTGCCACGGCGGCATCGGCGTGAGACGGATGGTGTTGACGAGGAGCAGGAGTCTATTCTTTCCGATGAAGAAGTGGAAGTGGATGCGACACGGCCACAAGACACGGACGGCCAGCATGAGGAATGGATGCTCCCTTCGTGGCCGCCACAACCTGGCATGAAGCCACGGCCGGATCCCACTGCTCCGGGTGTGTGGCTAGTGCCGTACTGCATGTGTGTGGAGCGCTCTGGGGAGAATTGTACGGTGCACACCAACGAGGCTGGCGATGACATCATCATGATGTGCAACGACTGCATTCATGCCTTGGAATGTAAGCACTAAACACTGGGTCGGGGGAACGAATGTGTGGCAACGTATGTATTTGATGGGTTTTGGCGGCTGCTTTCCTGTGGGATGTTGTTCGTTGTGGCCGGTTCTGGGGTAGGCTGCTGGGACATACGCGTTTCATGAGAATTTGCATGTGGTGCTTTCGTTGCCGATCATGTGTGCTGGGTGTTCATGCATGCGCGCACGCCACCGCACTGGTTATTCTGGCTGGTCTGCCCTGCCTGTGGCTGCTGCCTCCGCATCCAGGCCAACGCATCCCGTAGCCTGCCCTCGCACGCTATGATGGTGGAGACGTGCCGGAAATCAATCAGGACGGGCAGCGTCTGGAGTGGCCTGCCGTGCTGGAAGCCAACATACCGGGGCTGGGCCATGCCCAGCAGCACATCTAATGTAATGTAATGTAATGTGATGTAATGTAATGTAATGTAATGTAATGTAATGTAATGTAATGTAATGTAATGTAATGTAATGTAATGTAATGTAATGTAATGTAATGTAATGTAATGTAATGTAATGTAATGTAATGTAATGTAATGTAATGTAATGTAATGTAATGTAATGTAATGTAATGTAATGTTACAGAGTGGGAGGCTTCTGGGCCGCTTTATCACATTGTCAGTTCTAGATCATTTATCACCTTATAGCACCATCCACCACTACCACACTGTACTTCGCCATACGAACTGTAAGTCCAAGGCGGTGGGTCCAGCCTTCAGGGACCCCTCCTCATCCATTCACCCGAACACCCGAAGAGACGGAGGGTTCGGCAATCGCCACCAATCCAGCGTGCGAATCTGGTCCATCAACTGTGACCTCAACTCCACATCTCAGCAGCTAGCCATAATCTCGCGCTCCCGACTAATTCGGGGGTCTCCCCAGGAATCAAACCCAGGACCTTAAACCGCTAATTGCAGTAGTGTCAACCCAGACCAGACCGCAGCAGATCTACACGCTCAAGGTCAAGAACCGGCCGCCTGACTTGCAGCCCATCACCGTCACAATGCACAGGATAGCCATGGTGAACCCATCACTCGAGCAGTGGGTGGACGCCATCCCACGCTCTGCTGTGTCGTTGCCGGAGAACATCACCGTCCTCTGCATGGATGTCGTCAGCAGCAAGGACGAGCTGCTAGAAAAGCTCAAGAGCGCCAAGGTGTTGTCCATCCAAGCAGCTAATATTGTGGCCTGGGTCAACTACCTGAGCAACCTCACCTCTGAGAGGCATATCGATGACCAAGCGATGCAGGAGTGGCAGCCAATGGACCCAGAGCATCACGTGCTGCAGTCCTGTTGAAGGGCGGTCCTATCCCAACGTAGATAGTTGGTAGTTAGGCGATGATTCCGCCGTGATAGGCGATGCCTCGGACGTGCCTCGACCTTGCCTCGGCCGTGCCTAGACTTGCCTCGGGTCTCTCGGCCGCGTATCTCGGACGTGACCTCAGGTCCAGGGATGGTGGACATCTGTACGATACTTCCATTGTACTGGTATATAAGACACGAGTTGTGCTAGTCTTAGTATCTCATCTTTGTATGGATCGGTATTCCTTAGTAGGAATTTCCTAAAGTCTTCCAGCCAGTAAAGTCTTCCAGCCAGTAACCCACAGACTGTAACCCTTATATCGCGACCAGTCTCCTTGCCTTCATAACTCCCAAAAACACTGTGGGCGGAAGCGTTGGCGACTGCAAACTACCTCAGGAACGTGTCGCCAACTGCTGGGTCAACCGTCACACCACATCAAGCCTTCTTTGGTGTTCGTCCGAATGTCAGCCATCTGCGGGTCTTTGGATGCGCCGCATACGTTCATGTGCCCAACGTCAAGCGAGATAAACTCGATCCGGTAAGCAGGCGAGGAATCCTAGTCGGATACGGGAATGGAGGACAGTACCGTGTACTGTACGAAGACGGCGTCATCACTGTTGTCTCCAGTGTCCGCTTTGACGAGTCTAATGTCGGCCGGCGGCGTAGTACCGGGGACTCCGATTATGAGTCCGATGCCGATGAGGAGGAGGACGTTCACACTAACTTGCCTGGTGAGGGGTCGCTGCCTAGGGCTGGCGAAGGAACATCAGGCAATACCGTCGGCGAGGAATCGCCGCATTTGGGTGGCGATTCCGTGCAAGGTAACAATCAGCCTGATGTGGAAATGGCAGGGACCCGGTACCCAGTTAGAGAGCGTAAACGCCCTGGCGAGTGGTGGCGAAACGAGCCTGGTCGCACTGTCACTGGTCGTGTTAATGCTGCTTTCTCTGCTGTCATTCCTGAACCGAATTCGTTTGCGGAAGCAATTGCAAGTCCACATGCAGACGATTGGCGGCGTGCAATGGACGAGGAGATCGCCGCCCAGATGGCTAACAGTACTTGGGAGCTGAAGACGCCACCTCCTGGTACTCGTTTATTACCGTGTCGTTGGGCGTATAAGGTTAAGTACAACGATGACGGCAGCGTGGAGCGTTTTAAGGCGCGATTGGTTGCGAAGGGTTTCGAGCAACGCGAGGGGATTGATTATGGGGAGTTGTTTGCCCCTACCTCACGTGGTTCGTCATTACGTGCTTTACTAGCAGTTGCCGCAGCGCGGAACATGACGGTACATCAGCTAGATGTGTCTACTGCGTTTCTGAATGGTGAGCTGAAGGAGGAGTTGTGGATGCAGCAACCACCTGGGTATGAATCTATTGAAGAATTGGCGACGGTGACGGCTAACGCTGATTGTTATTTCGGAAGGATTGCCGGTGGCGAAGATATTTAGCACGATAAACTGTTACAAGTAATGCAAAGAGTATTGTTAGCGTTCGGCAGGACTTGAGGAGATTCCTGGTAGGAATACCGATCGTTGTGAGATAAACTATTAGGCGCAGTCACCGCCCTAAATACCGGCGCTAGCGGAAAACTCGTACATTCCGCGATCTAACTGCACGTACATTCCGTGATCTCACTGCGCCGTCCAGACGGTGCCCTAATGTCTATCACTTAGCTACCGGATATGCATCGGTAGCCCCATAAGGTTCTGGGGTAAGTCTTCCCCATTAGTCAGGCGCAGACCCGGGGTCAAATCCCCTGGTCGACAACCACACGAGTTGGGAGAGGACCGTTTCCTCAACACGCCCCCTCGGGCCGTATCCCAACGAGTACCAAGTTCATCTGCACACTTCACACAAGGCCCATAGCATCTCGGCAACGTTTGAACTTCACCTCGCCCAGAGCCTTCGTTAGCACATCCGCAACCATCCACTCCGTAGGGCAGTATTCCAACTGCACCTCACCGCTATTCACCCTCTCACGCACTATGTGATGCTGCACGTCGATGTGCTTCGACCGAGCAGACGTAATCGGGTTGTTTCCCAAGCTAAGCGCCCCCTGGGAGTCTATCTGGATTTTCACCGCGCTCTCAGGCAAGCCCAAATCAACCATCAGCTTGCGAAGCCACAAAGCCTCACGAACAGTCGCCGCTGTAGCTTGGTACTCAGCCTCCACCGACGAAGCCGCCACAGTACGTTGAAGTTGGCTGCTCCAGCTAATCGCAGCCCCATTAAGAGTGAATACGTAACCAGACGTAGAACGCCGCGTAACTGGGTCTCCTGCCCAGTCAGAATCGCTATACCCGGACATAGCATCGTCGCCAACACCCCCAAAACGCAATCCTAGTTCGCAAGTCCCCGCCAGGTAACGCAGAACGCCAGTTGCTAAGTTCATGGCAGTCTTCGTGGGTGCGGCCATATGCCGGGACAAAACACTCAATGCATAAGAAATGTCAGGCCGCGTGTTCGTCGCCAGATAGTTCAATTCTCCCACCAAAGCCCTATACTCGGTGGGATTGCCCAGCAGCTCCTCTCCGTCCCCCTTAGGAGTGTACCTAAAGCCCGGAGGCAAAGGGGTAGACCTCGGCTTGGCGTCAATCATCCTATGACGCTCCAACAGCTGCGCAATATACCTATGTTGCGACAACACTATTTCACCCGACTTCTCCCTCCTAATTTCCATGCCCAAAAACACCTTCGTTTCTCCAAGGTCGCGCACCTTGAAGACCTTCGCAATTGCAGCTTTAATTGCCCGGACCATTTCCGGGTCTTCCGACGCAACAATAGTGTCATCTACGTGCACCAAAGCAATAACAACCCCATGCTCGTCAGTCTTAACGAACATCGCCGGATCAGACTTCGAAGGATAAAGACCCAACTTGGCGAACTCTGCTGATAGTTTTTCATACCAGCAACGGGGTGCCTGCTTTAAACCGTAAATAGACTTCTGCAGCTTGCACGCAAGCGACCGGTCACTGGATGCATACCCAGGCGGTTGCTCCATCCACAACTCCTCCTTCAGCTCACCATTCAGAAACGCAGTAGACACATCGAGCTGATGTACCGTCATGTTCCGGGCTGCGGCAACTGCTAATAAAGCACGCAATGACGAACCACGAGAG